AAAAAAAAAAAAAAAAAAAAAGAAAATATAAATGAACTCAACATAAAAGAATAAAATGAAAACATTATTCGACAGAAAGATAGAAAAATATTTATATGGCATAAAATAAATTTTAGGGTGAGGATGAAAGGATAACTGTAGTACATCAGAGTAATAATATGATTACTGAGTAAAGAAATTTATAGTGCTCTCTGGAGAAATAGAATGGTATTTTTATATTTCACAAATAACAAACAATCCTTAGTTTACATCTTGACCTGAAAAAGTGTATTCATTCATTCATTCTTCAGAACTAATACTGGTTAATGAAGAAGACTTGAGACTGGATAATCATAAAAATAAACCTCAAACTCTTGCCATTTTAATAGATTTACTAGTTCCTGAATAACCCTACAATCATTAAGAGAGTAGGGACCAGTGTTGGGTAGGCTTTTAGACAACCATGATTCTGTCTTAAGCACTTGAAAAATGTCTTGGTATTTCTAAGGAGGTTGGCCCAGTATGGACACCTACCTATATACAGATATGTGTACCCCCTGTGAAATGTCTTCTTTAAGCTTTTTAATTTTCTTGACCTTTCTCTGTTCTGCTGTAAGTTTTCGGGCAGCGTTGGCCTCTTCATGCGCTCTGTCGTGACAGGAAGGACATCCACAAGTGAGAAAGGCATTGAAGATCAGAGGCAGGGCTGAGGGAAAGAGAGAGCAACGGAGGACTCTCCCCTCCCTTCAAACATGGATCCCCCAGAAAAGTTTGGGAAAGGTACTTGCTCTGGGTTTCCACCCAACCCCATGGCACTTACTTCTGTCTTTTTGCCATTTGAGCTTTGACATGGGCTTCTACCTTCGTGGGGTCTTGAACAGCTTCTGTGCCTAATACTCGCATCAGATTAGAAATTCTCACTGCAGTGGAGAGAGGATAGCAATCAATCCTCTAAGTCACTTCTCCAGCGGGGATAACCTCTTATGTCTTTTCTCCCAATTCATATTATTTGTTTCAAATCTCTGCTCAAACCTCACATCCTCTAATAACTCCTACCTTGGAAATCCCACCCAATGAACTCAGCATTGGCAGTTCACACAAGCTAAAGAACTGGTATATAGCTATATAATTTGAAAATTTAGTGGCTCAGTGCCCATAGCTCCAGGCTTAGGGTGCTGGCCACATATGCCGAGGCTGGCAGGTTCGAACCTAGCCTGGGCCTGTCAGACACCAATGACACAATGACAACAACAACAACAACAACAAAAAAGCTGGGTGTTGTGACGGGTTCCTGAAGGAGGTAGATTTCCTGAGCTCACAGGTTCAAGACCAGCATGAGTAAGTGCATCTCTAAAAATAGGCAAGGTGTTGTGACAGGTGCCTATAGTCCTGGCCACCCGGGAGGCTGAGTTAAGAGAATGACTTTAGCCCAAGAGTTTGAGGTTGCTGTGAGTGATGATACCAGGGCACTCTACCAAGGGCAACAAAGGGAGACTCTGTCTCAAAAAAAAAAAAAAAAAAAAATTAAAATATTACATACTTAATAAGTCTATGCAAATAGACTATGCAAAAATACTACTACAACTACTATCTTCACCAATTTCAAGACCAGTATTTATCCAAGAAAATCAGTAATACAAGGCCAAGCATGGTGGTTCATGCCTGTAATCCCAGCACTTGGGAGGCTGAGGTGGGTGGATTGCCTGAGCAAGAGTCAGAACCCATTTCTAAAAATAGGTTGGTATTGTGGAGGCTCCCTGTAGTCCTAGCTACTTGAGAGAGGCTGAGGCAAGAGAATTGCTTAAGCCCAAGAGTTTGAGGTTGCTATGAGCTGCGATGCCACAGCACTCTACCAACGATGACAAAGTGAGACTCGGTCTCAAAAAAAGAAAATCAGTAATGCTTAAAAATAAGTCTTAAATGGCTTCTACAATAAATTTAAGAAAAACAGTAGAAAATTTACAGGAAAACAGAAAACAAGGCCAGGCACGGTGGCCCACACATGTAATCCTAGCACTGTGGAAGGCTAAGGTCGGGGGATTGCCTGAGTTCATGGGTTTGAGACCAGCCTGAATCAGAGCAAGACCCCATCTCTAAAAATAGTTGGGCGCTGTGGTGGGCACCTGTAATCCCAGCTACCTGGCAGGCTGAGGCAAGAGAATCACTTGAGCCACAGGCACCGAGCCTAGAGATAAACTTTTACAGGCAAGGACTACTATGTACCTTTGGGTTCTGGAGGAGGCATCAGGCCCAGCCTGACTTTCTCTTGTAGTTCTTTCTGTGCTTCTCTCCTTGTCTGCCTCCGAAGTTTCTTCTGTTCCTTCTTGGTAAGATACACCCCCAGAGTAACTGGTGTGTCA